TAATCATGGAGACGTCTTCAGACAGTCCTGGCTCTTGGCTTTGAAACAGAGATGAGTATTGCCCCCTAGAGTGGGGAATGACTAGCACATATGTACAAGAGGAACCTTTACCTTAATCCCAAAATCAAGGAGGTTGAGCAAGAAGAACTTCCACAGATTCCCAGAATGATAGGTTAGATTGAGAATTTGGGGTAACATCTTAGGAAAAGGGAATGGTAAACCAAAAACAATACAGTGTATGTGTCAACCCTGGAGCTGGTCTTTGAAGGCAAAGGTATATTACTTGGATCCTTGACATTGTAGGTATGTCAATGCTGATGCTCCAAGAAATGAGTTCAACTTGAAGAAAACTTTAATCATTTCTCTGGAGATCTCACTTTTCCAACTAATAGAAAAATTGTGCTTGCATTCAGGGCGGAATTCCACTTTTAGGAGTTTGGAGGATTTATAGGTGTTGTCATCTGTTGACAATCCAGGAGTCAACAGGTTCTTTAGGAATTAGAGGGTCTAAAGGTGACATTCTAAGATCAATTAATTAAATACTGTGGATACTGGGACGTACAGAAAAAGGAAGTTCAACCATTCCAGATCCTTCAGCTTGCTTGGAACCTCAGGGATGGCGACAGATGGAAACTTTATACCCAGCATCTTCCCAGCATTCTCCTAACTGCACCTTAGGAGTCTACACCAGGGTTCAAACTGTCTGTGGGATTTGCCCGACCTTTGTACTAAGAAGAGTAGTATAAATATCCCAAGCATACTTTTAGTGAAGGCAAAGTCTTCTGCAGGCAGCAGCTGAGATGATGTGATGACAAGGCTGGCCAATAATTTTGGAATCTAAAAAAAAATAACACTTTGCTAAGAATGTGTTTATGGGGACAGTGCTGTGGAATTCAGCCGTTGCTCCTGCTCCCCTTAGCTGCTGTTAAATTAGGGAACCGATGTTTATCTTAATTGTTACAAGGAGAAATACAGGCAGGAGGCTTCCAAGCAAGAATGATGAACAACACAATGGTACAACCCCACAAAGCTTGCTGAATATCTGCTAAGTGCACACATGGGGAAACACGCCATGTAAAGCTTGCATCAGCTGGCTACTTCAGCACAGCCATCTCTTATATAAAATCCAAGGAAAAATAAGTTTGTTGATACCACTTGTTCCTCACCAAGCTTCTGTGGTACCAGGGCATTGCTTTTAACTCCTCCAAACCAGTGGTGGGTTTCAAATAATTTAACAACTGGTACTCTGCCCTAATAACCAGCTGGGTAGGNTGACCTTCATTTTGTTTTATCTTACTTCTAAATCCATTTGGGTAAATCAATCCATCAATAAAATAAATTGGATGCAGAAATAATGGGCTTTCCCCCACATAATTCTTATAAAACAAACAACTTTGCATAGTTTCCCTATCACACACTTTTAAATCAGTAACTTTGGACTACTAATAGGGAATTTTCCATTTTGTATAAATATCTTGAGCGCAAAGATGTATGAAGGTCCCTCCAAAATAGCAATCCAACTTATATAAAAGTTTTGCTTATTTTAGTTCTTTAAATTTAGAGTAGGAGCCTAGATGAGAGGATCATTAGTTTCAAAGCTGTAACTAATTAATAATATTATTGGATTCTTTGTAAGAAAGCTTGGGAGACAGGATGTTAATAACTTTCTGGAAAAAAAATAGTGTATAAACACAAAAACAAAAATTAAGAATGCTCACTTGTTTTGATACAACAAATCTCTAAATAGTGTTGGTGGCAATTTAGGATAATTAAAGTATATGCATAAAGATAATTAAAGTATGTGCTTGAGTAAGGAAAGCCACGTGTAATCTTATAATGTTGAGTTTTTGGGACATGCAATCCTATGATTGGATGGGTTTACAACACGATATTTACCCCTCTACACAAAAATCCAAGACTCACACTCAAGAAACAGGTTCCAGAAAAAAGAAGAGTATTGCATAAGTACTAACATACACTATTAAAGCAGAACTCTGTTGAGGATTTATTTTAGACAGGGCACATCAACTTGTGATGAAAAAAGTTAGACCATGGAGTGCTTTCTCACTAGAAGCCCAGTTCTCTTGCAACCTTAAGAAACGGAGACAAATCTGTTGCCTCTAGAATTTCCAAAGAGAATTAAGACGTTGGTGAGCAATCGGATCTATTCTTCTCAAGCGAAGTTTGAGTTTTGAAATGTTGTAAACCTCGTGCCTGTGGGAAGGATTGAAACGGGACTTCACTGTCCCTTGGAACGATTTAAAACACGGCTTCAGTTCTGCTTAACGGCTGCCTCTACCGATCAGTTTGGTGGTCAATCCGCTACGGAATAACCTAGAAAGTTGTTTTAAACCCGCGCGACAGCAACTGGACACACAACGTCGCTTAGCATCTGCTCAGGCAGCATGCTTGCAAAACCTAACTACACCACTGTACTCTTGGCGTGCGTGAACGAGTGGCTTCCCCCACTGGATCGGCGGGCGACCGTGCGATTCTTCTCCAGCGACAAAAAAGACTCCGAAGTTCGGACGCTGCCGAGACCTTCTTTGCGCAGTTGACTCCAAAGTCAACGTCAAGGGAAGGAACCGGCAGGCAGGTGGAGGGGGCGCGCTTCTCACCCGGTGCCTGAAAAACGACCGGCTTAACCCACGACACTAACCCCAAATCCCCGGTTTCCTAAAAGGCGACCCACTACCCATCTTCGCGCCAAGTCCGGGGTCAAGCTGTTCCCTACATTGGCCGAGCTAACGAGGGTTTTCTCCCCATAACTGAGCAAAATAGGGCAAGAGAGGGCAGGGCAAAGCAAGGCAGGGAGCCTGGCTGGGGAGCTGCGCGATGTTGGGCTTTCTTTGGCCGGCCAGGGGCGCTCCAGCGCGGCTGGGCAACCCTCGCTGGCTCGCTTGGGTGGCTTACCTGTGCGCGGCGCCTTCACCTGTTGCCCGGCCGCCTCCATCGGCGAAGGGCAGCGGCTCCCCCTTGACTTCGCGCAGCACCAGCGCCTTCTCCTCCGGGCGGGGGAACTCAGCGAAGTCGCCCCCGCTGCTTCCTCCTCCTCCACCACCTGGCCTTTCGTCCAGAGATTCGACGTAGAAGATGGTGCGAGGGGCCGGCGGGGGGCCTTGCTGCTCGGCCAGCCCATGGAGCCGGGTGGCCGGCAGCGACGTCCCGTTGAGGGGCAGGGAAGAGACGGCGCAGGGCGGCGGGCAGGCGGCGGCCGAAGACTGCGAGGGCGAGGCGGAGGAGGCTTTCTTCCAGAAGGCGCCTCCCCCTCCTCCTCCTCCGCTTCGCTCCTGGCTCTTCAGCAGCCGGCTCTGGCTCGGGCCCCAGTGCTCGAAGCTGCCGTCCGGTTGCAAACAGCCGCCCGCGGGCGCCGCCGGGTGACTGAACAGTTTCCAGCGGAGGCGCAAGATGTGCTTCACGTCAAAGTCCTTCCTGCTCGAGTTCGACATCCTGCAGCGGCGGAGGCGAGGCTGGCGTTGGCTTCTCCGGCAGCTGAGTCGAGGCGAGCCCGGAGGGGGGCAAGGCGGCTGGCAGGGCCTCCCAGCGCCGGAGAGTCCGCAGCGCCCGAGGCGCAGGAAGCAACCGGGCTGCCGCCGAGCGACTGAAAGGGGAAGGAAAGCAACCTACGCGAAGTAGTAGCCCCCTCCTCCTCCTCCTCGCTCCCCCCCCCACCCAACCACCACCACTCGGCTGAGCAACGGCGGAGGCTGTACCTGGAGCGCCCCGTATTTTGCGCTCCGAAGGTGAGGAAGGAGGCGAGGAACCGCGCGTAAAGTTGCCGGGTTTTTAAGCGCAGGGTTAGTAGCCGGGGAAGACGGGAGGGGAGTGGGCGGGCGGGCGAGGGAGCGAGCGGGGGTCTTTCCTGAGCAAGGGGAGGGGGGTGCTAGAGCTCCCTGGCGCCCCCAACCGGACTGGCTTCTCCGGCGTTGGTCTGGAGCTTTGAGTTTCTTTCCAGGCGCTGTCCAGCACCCTGCGAGCATCCCTGGAAGAGATTCTTAATGGGGAAAGGGGAGGCGCTTTTCCAGCAGCCTTTTTCAGCTTCATTAGGATCTCCACTGCCGGCCCCAATTTCCCCTCGTGTTTTCCCCCATCCCGGTTTCAAAGGAAGTCCGGGGAGACCCCACCCAAGTCGATCCCTCAAAGAACACCAACGCCTCCTTTTCCCGACCTGGGGGCTGAATCAAGATCTTGAAAACTCAGGTGGAGCCCGGGTTTATTTCTCGTCGTCTTCTTCTTCCCCCCTTCACCATAAGGACACTTCTCCCAAGCAAACGCTGAACGAGCCTTTGATCTGGTCGACTCCAGCCAGCATTTTAGGCTGCCCGGAACTCCTGGGCTGAGTGGCCAGGATCTTCCAAGGCAAAGTCTTCTTGTTCAGAACTCTTTATCTCTCAATCCACTTCCTGAAGTGGATGTTGTGAGTTGGAATGGTTCACACCTCGAGAACATTTGGTCCACCCAAACTGAGATAATGAAGCATCCATTCTAGGTCTTTTTCCTCTGACTCCGTGCAAAAGTTTCATCAGCTGATGATTATGCGAACTATCTCCTCCTTTCCGTCATCCCATTTTGATCCAATGTTCTTTAAACAGGAATCATAAATGAAGCTATGTTCCACATTAATTGTAAGACAACTCATGTGTGAACTGCAGAGCTTTTATCCCATCTCATGTAGAGATAAGGTTGCAACATGATTCCAACTAAAACCTTCTTTCTCTTGGTTTTACCTCCACATGAATATTTGCCAGGCCACCCAGAAACTGGAACAAAGTTTTATTTCAGTAGTAGTTCATCTATCAAAACTTGAGAATTCACCTGTAACTGTCTTTAATTCCTGCATTGCCACTTTCAAGCAGTGTTTTGTATAGTGCTCATCCCAAAATCCTTAAGGGACGTGGTGGCTCAGTGGCTAAGATGCTCAGTTTGTCGATCAGAAAGGTCGGCAGTTTGGCGGTTCGAATCCCCAGTGCTGCGTAATGGAATGAGCTCCCATTACTTGTCCCAGCTTCTGCCAACCTAACAGTTCAAAAGCATGTAAAAATGCAAGTAGAAAAATACAAACCTCCTTTGGTGGGAAGGTAACAGCGTTCAATGCCCTTCAGTGTTTAGTCATGCCGGCCATGTAATCATGGAGACGTCTTCAGACAGTCCTGGCTCTTGGCTTTGAAACAGAGATGAGTATTGCCCCCTAGAGTGGGGAATGACTAGCACATATGTGCAAGAGGAACCTTTACCTTTACCTTAATCCCAAAATCAAGGAGGTTGGGCAAGAAGAACTTCCACAGATTCCCAGAATGATAGGTTAGATTGAGAATCTTAGGAAAAGGGGAATGGTAAACCAAAAACAATACAGTGTATGTGTCAACCCTGGAGCTGGTCTTTGAAGGCGAAGGTATATTACTTGGATCTTTGACATTGTGGGTATGTCAATGCTGATGCACCAAGAACTGGGTTCAACTTGAAGAAAACTTTAATCATTTCTCT